CTCCCTTGCCCCCAGGTCCTAATTGACCTGGGGGCGGGGGAGCGTGCAAAACCTCCTCCCGCCCTGCTACGAGCACATGGCGCTTTGAAGTGCTGGGCTCTGCTTGCAGGGTGGGAGGGGAGAGTGGAGGAGGCTTCGCATGCTCCCCCACCTTCAGGCCCTAATTGGCTTAGGGGCAAGGGAGCACGGGAAGTTTCCTCCCACACCAGGGGCATGGGCACCTAGGGGGAACATGGGGTGGGGCAAAGGTACTCCCTCTCCCCCAGACAAATCATGGTCTGGGGGTGGGGAACACAGAAAATATCTTGACCCCCACCCCTTCCGCTTGATGCCCGGGGCCACTTCAGAAATTTCTGAAGTGGCCCCCAGCAAAAAATTATTGCTCACCCCAGGGCTAGGACCACACTGGCCTATTTCCCTTGAGTAGGAGGGCATGAAGACCTGCAGGGCACAAGCTCAGCTCCAGTGAATACTGATAATCAGAAGATTTTGGGTCTTACGCATATGAGATGAATGTTCATGATAAGTAGGCTCCATGTAGATAAAACACCTTGAACCACACTTCTGTCTTCCCTTTTATGAGATAACAGCATGTTTGATTTCTGGCTGGCTTCTGCAGGGTTGTCTTTACTAAGAAAACCAGAATGAAGTTCTGAAGCTGTTGTTGTTGCATAATAACGTCTGTTGAATTACTTGTTAAGAAATAAATTGTTTTGGGTGTTTGAAAAACAGCTAATGAAATCTTGTGAATTTCACAAAAGCAATCTTCATATACATTTAAAAAATAAATAGTCTAACTTCTAAAAGCCTGGGTGGATGGATTGATGTGCCTAAAATTAAGCTGCCTTGTAGCATTTGCTTAGGCACGTTGTGAATGTGTGAGATGCAAGCTTTTACTCCCCTACCCACAAAGAGCACATTGCTAAACATTTTTCCCTTTTTTTTTTGGTCAAGCTGTTTTATTGGTTTGGAGTTGTTTTTAAGTGGTGAATTTTCATACTTCATCAGCTATCTGCCAGATGATCATTTTATGAATGTGGTGTTTTTTCTGGGTATGTCGCTCCTAAAAATTATTCCCAAAGAAATGGAACATATGCATAATAACTAAATGCCACGAGAGTTAACAAGGTGTGTTTTCCCCCTCCAGTGGATCCAAGGATAATTCAAGAAAATAAAAGGGAAAAGGAGAGAATCCAGAGAGTGAATCAGGAGGTCTTTGGCAATGGTCTCCAACCGAAAATAGAATTTGCACAATATAAGGTGAAAACAAGTTTAATGCTTCTAATTTGGTTAAAATGAACTAATTAGTAGATGTGTTAAAGCACAATTGCAAAGAATTCTCTAGTTTTTTCATCAACCTTTTTTCATAAAACAATTAGATTTTTCAGAAACTAGTTACAATTATAGCTTTCTAATGCAGAGCTCTTGGTGCATTCTTTGGGCACTAGATGTCATTAAATTAGATTTAAAATGCTGGATCATATCTCAGTCTTGCATCATCCATACTAACTGAGTAATACAGGTAACTTTAATTTGATCATAATCTTGGGAACAAAGTGTTTTGGATGTTGTACTATAATAAAATGAGATTTGAAGTACTGATGAAATGGAATTCCAGATTATAGAGAGTCTTCTACAAAGTTGAAGAATATCTATTTATAACAGAAAACTCTTTATGTATCATTACAAATTCCAAGAGATGACCATTAATGTTTTATTCTATACATTGGACGTGATTCTTTTTTTAGTGCAGAATTATTTGCCGTAAAAGGGCACCGCTGAATTCATTTAAAAAAAAAAATTATCCACCTAAACATGTGTGTTCACTAGAAAAGAGGTTGTTGAAAGACATTGTGACGGCTTCTAGTTCAGGCACGAGCGCTTAACCCTCCCACATCGGGGTTACGGCCCTGCGAGCCCACGTACATTGAGGTTCCGGGGCATTTTGCTCGGTGGAACCAAGGAAGTGAGGGAGGGGAAATGGGTGGATAGGGGGACCCGGGCCCTCCCTCTCCACTGGGTCCCAGTCCGGGACCCTAAGGGTTTGGGTCTTTAGCCCTCACCCGGCTGACGGGGTCCCACCCTGTAACACGTCAGCCCACGGGCACCAGTAAGGCCCTGCCCCGGGCTGCTTTCTAGCCTTCCCTGCACCGGTCTGGCGGGACCACGGCCTCTCGGCCCTTACCTCCCCAGTGGTGGCCTGTGTCAGCCTGCCTGCGTCCTCATCCAGCGTCCTCCGGATTTGGTTCCTCAGCCGGGGGGGAAGGGATCGCACCCTGGCACCTTCCCCCCCCTGCTCTGGCCCCGGCCCCAGCTTTAAATGGCCTGCCGGGGCTCACGTCTCCAGTGTCCACCCCACCCCCAGCTTTGCTGGTCCTCCTACACCGCGGCATAGGGGCTGGGCTGCGTTCCAGCTTGCCCCGCCCCCGGCGTGCTCGGGAAACGCCGCCTGCTCCTGCCTTGTGCCGGGTGCGGGGAATGCGGTGTCCCAGCGGGGACTCCGCGGGGGCGTGCCTCCTGTGTTTTCCTGGGGGGTGATAGCCGCGGCTCTCCCTGAGTGCGGGCCGGGGTCGGACCGTCACAGACATAAATAAAATAATTCTGATAGGCCACTGACTTTTAAAATGAATGCTCAAGATGTGAAGTCAAAGAAGTTAATCAAAGCAGCATGTTGATGCAGCTGCTTTTTAAAAAAACAACTATGGTTGTGGGAGGAACCGGCTTGAAATGGCTTAAGTGATGTCTGAGAAAAGAATCCAGATTGGAACCATCAGGTGAGGAAAGGAGCAAAGGGAGACACAAAGGCAACCAAAACACTTGAGCAAGGGAAAAAGGCATTTGAGGGTAGTGGAAGCCTCACAGGGCAGGGAGATCTGTCCTAATTTGGGCCAGAATTGGATTGGATTATTTAGAGACTCTCTTAAAATAAATAATTTTAGGATATTAGGTATGAGAAGTCTACCTTGAACAATATCAGGCACTGCGTCTCGTTGCTGCAGGGGGATCAGTTGACCAGTGGAAGTGCTAAGGCAGGCTACCTGTCCTGGCATCGTGGTGCAGACTGCACAACTCCTACATTGGGAAGAGGAGAGAGCATAAAGGGTTCCTTCCGTGCATTGCTACTGCCCAAAGCACTAGCTTCACACTTGCATTGTCTGGGAACCTGCTGCTGGCTGCTTTTGGGGCACAGCATGGTCAACAGTGCCAGGAGAGGCAGGAAGCCAGCCTTAGCACCCTGACTGGGAGCCGCTCAAGGTAAGCTCTTCCTGCCACAGCTCTGACACCCACCCCGCTCCCTCAAAGCTCTTCTCCTCAGCCCCACCCTGGAGCCCACATTCTAGTCAAATTACGTTGGGTTGTGGACATCAACAATTTTCTTAAATGAGTCATGAGAAAAAAATTGAAAACCACTGCTCTAAAATATCTAATAATCTCACAGGAGGCAGTAGATTTTTCTTAGGTAAAACTTGTGATTGGAATATCTACTCCCACAACCTAGCTAATGAGATGTCAATCATTTCTGTGTTTAACTCAAAAGGGGACACTAAACCTATGCTCAGGGCTTGACAGATCATGTGATCTATTCGCCCATGGTGAGTAGACTACAAGTTGGCACAGCCAGCACTGCGCAATCTGCGCATTGCACAGCTCGCAGAACCATGCGGCTGGTGAGCAGGGCTCGCCGCCGCTTGGCAAGCCCTGCCTATGCTTAAAATGTGTTTAAATATTTTTCCAAGCAACACTTTATATTCTCTAATCTCTTTGAAATCCTAACTTGTTTATTTTATGCACTAATCTGTTTTTTGTTCACATGGGTCTTTCATTCACCAAATATGGGGGGGAGGAGGGTTTTTTTTTTTTTTAAATAAGTAATAGCGATCATGAAACAAAAAAAGCTGACAGGTTAAGGACAAGTATGGTACTTGACATCTCTCTTGAATAAATAATTTAATATGTTTCTAACCTTTGTAATATCCTTTAATACTTTAAAAAAGGCCAGTTAGTGTTCTTTATTTTAATTTATTTTTAATTTTAAAAAAGGTCAATTGGATGTCTGGTTACTAGAGATGAGGACATGAGGGGTTCATCACTGAACACCAGGAAATGCTTGTCTTACGGTTTAGCGCAACAGTTATTTTCCCAGTAGAGAGAAGAGAAGACCCATCTTTTTAAAAAAGCATGACTATAATCTTTGTTTTTAATAGTATTTACATACATAAAGTCATATCTTTGCTTAGGTCCCCTGAATACTTTGTGTTCACAGCTTGAAACAATGTTTAAAGGTGAACCTGAAATGGACATCCTTACTGAAAAAGAGCCATTCAGATGTGTAGTCAAATTTTCCAGCCCCCATCTTTTAGAAGCATTGAAATCTTTAGCACCAGCAGGTGAGTGCTATAATATAACAGGTAAACTATTGTTCTGTGTTATCTTTCATTTAGACTGGATATTTGAGTGGTTAATCTGACTTTTGTGTACATATAGAAATGTAATAAACTATGAGAATTCTTTTGTAGATAGCCTACCTACGGCTAGATTTGTACAAAAACATGAGTTTACATGTTTTATTTACTTATAAAATTGCAGCGATTGAACAGGGATACGCAATTTGTACATTTAATCTAAATCATGTGGGAAAGAAAGTGTGGATGAGTTAAGCTATAATTTTTTCCCCTTCTTCCTCCAGGTATGGCTGATGCACCTCTATCACCATTACTTACATGCATACCACAAAAAGCCAGAAACTATTTTAAAATTAAGGAGCGAAAAGATATACTTTCAGCAAGTTGTCTAGGCTCTTGACTTTTTTTTTACTGCGAAGACTCATTCACCAAGAATTGTGTATGTATTGTATTTAACTATTGGTATCTAATCTAATCAAAATATACATTTAAGAACCATTTTTAAAGCTAATTTATTGTTTGGTAATTCCTTATATCATTTTAAATGATAGCTTAAATTTAAAATAATACTTTTTCCTTACTGTTGTTTTTAAACAATGAGTTAGCCAATGAGACTGACGTAATGGCCTGTCATCTAGCAGATAGCTGAATTTACAGTTTCAGCTAATTGAACCAGTTCATTGAAGTTCTTCTACAGATCGTAATGTATTTGGTGAGCACACAATAAATTAGAGATCAGATCTAATCGGAATGCAGAAAGTCAAATAACGTACCAGATTAGTCTTTTCACTGTACCGGTATCACTTAATAAAATAGTTAAATCTACAGTCTGTCATCCAGTATAAAAGATACTAATTCTGAGTGAGAATGTCAGGAGACAAAAAAACTCTACTTGGAAAACTAACATTCTAGCCTTGCCTTGACATTTTCATTTCAACAGAAGACTTCCTTCCTGTGACAATAGTCTATTATCATGACTTCATTTATAGCGAGATCCATGTATTTGATTACTTATTTTTAAATGATGTTTTGGACTTCTGATTGACTAGCAAAAGCTGACATCAAACATTTGGACCCTTATAATCAATAAACAGATGTGATACTTAATGTACAATAGGTTTTTAACAGTTTATTTTATCAATTGACTGACAAGATATCTAAACAATTAAAGTTAACTTTCCCCATAAGAATGAGATGCAGAAACTTTCTGTTGAAGCAAAACTTGCTACTTTGGGGAAGTAGTGTTTTTAAATGCATATCTTTCTAGGGTCTGATCCTGCAACACTTTTTGCACACTAAAATTTGTGACTTTATTTACATAAATATTGCAATGTAATATCAAGAAGAAATAGGGTTTCCAGTAAAGTTCGAAGTGTTCTGACTTGCACAGAAATTTTGAATTTAACCCTTTTAATATTTGAGCTACAGATTTAATGTACATGGTTTGCAGATCATTTGTATTCAAAATGTAACTTAGATCCTGTGATGGTTAGCAATTTATTGTTGATGTATTTTGTATATTAAAAATTTTATTCACTTACCTCTGTAGGCAGAGAAAAATTTTCAGTAAGGTTGTGTTCTAGTATACCAAGCTATTTTGTTTGGTTTTGTGTGATATTTTGTTTGCCTTACATTTAAAGGACCAATAAAATTTGAAAGGACCAATAAATTTAAAGTAGATTTCAGTCTGACACATTTGTACTGAATATTTTTGTAATTATTATAAATTCAATTTTTTGGAATGTACACTACTGGATCTATGGTGCTAGTTTATAAGTACATTTTAACTAAAATTCAGCAGAATTGAAAGTGTTTAAATATAATATTAAGCTATTAAAAGACTTACCCAGAGTTGCCTTGGGCTGGAGTGTGTGTGCAAGAGTGAGGGTTGGGGTGTGAGGAGGGTTTCAGGGTGAGGATCCCATCTGGCAGGGCTTTCTCTATTCCCCCAGTCCTACTGGCTGCCATGGGCCTTCTGTCTGCACCCCCACTCCCTGTGCTGCAGCCAGGGGGCGGTGGGGAAGGTGATGACACCCCAGCCTTGCTGGTCATACCCTTGATGGTGTGGTTGCTCCCAGTGGTCTTTCTGCAATATAGTTCTCCCCTGCAGGCTCTCTGTCCTCCAGGGGCCACTCTCAATATTGCATCCCTCCTGTTCCCATCCCTTTCTATGTTATGGAAAAATAGTCCCATTCCTACCACTTCCTGTTTTCTTGGCACAACCAAACCCTGACTTTGCTTTAAGTTAGGAAAAGAGGAAGCTACATATCAAGTTTGGTGGCCCTAGATCTTACTTTTCAGGAGTATTTCTTAAACAGACTCTCAGATGGACAGAAAGACATTTCTAACATATATAGATTACTGTTCTGAAGAGTCTGTTTTAATTTGTGATCCAAACTAAGGCCTGTCCACAATTCCCATCAGGAGGGAAAGACTACTCATAAAAGCATAATTCAAAAAAGATGAATGTAAAAATCTGTTTCTATTATGGACAAGAACTGACTACACTTCTACCAGACTAGCTTAAAGTTCTGCTTTGCATTGGTACCTGTCTTTATATCTATCTGTCATATCCCCATATGCCATCATAGAAGTTAAACCTATATCCACCCCATATTCCAGTGTGCTTTCCTAGTGCTCTCTTCCAGGTGATAGTGATTTATGACAGAAAAGCAGAATTTTATTATCCAAGTGTTTTGCCAGCAGTTTTACTACTGCCTGGTTCTGCTTTCCAAAGGTGGTCTTCCATCCTGTGTTTTAGCAAAAGCAAGAAAATGAAAAGGTATCACCCTGAATGCAATAATCTGTTTTTCATTTGAATGCACATTTACTATTACCAATACAGACCACACACCACAACCTGCATGCAGCTACCCCCTTTCTTTTCCCCACCCAGTCTCCCTTTATCAAACTATATCCCCTCTAAACAAAACCACTACTACACTAACCATCCGTAATCTCTACTATGAGAATAGGGTAGTGTGGTGAAGGGGAAAGTTGAGGGACAAGAGTCATGGTTGTAGTATGTAGTCAGTGCTTTGTTAGTTTGTGCTTTTGGGTGAAAGAAATGTTTACTGTACATGGTTCCTAAGTGGGGAACGCGGCATACCCACTCATGCCCTGGCTGATGAAGCCCTACGCCGGCCACCTGGATTCCAGCAAGGACCTTTTCAATGCCCATCTCAGCCAAGCCGGGATGCAGGTGGAGTGTGCCTGCGAGCGCCTCAAGGGACGCTTCCACTGTCTCACTTGGAATGCAGAGGGAGTACACAGCTCTCTGTCAATGTTGCATGCATTCAGCACACACCTCACTTCATGTGCCCTTGCTTTAAGTGCATATCACTTTAGTAATACTAGTAGGAAAAAATCTGCATATACAGAAATCAGTGGAATCGTGGGTAACAGTAAACAAAATGTCTTGATATACACACAGAACCCTGATGGACTGCATGCAGCCCTGAAACCACACGTTGCCCACCACTGCAGTAAACCCCTTCAGATTCAGTGCCTGTTTTTGTAGGCCTGTTTTACAGTTATTTAAATAGGACTCCTAGTACTATCTCCAACCTGAAAGACAATAGCATGCTAGTCCCCAAGTCTTCTTTGGGATTCTGTATTCTCAAAAGAACTGAGGGATGGCTGGACTTGATCTTCCCTTTATCTTTTGGTGGGGTTGCAGCACAAGGACACTTTGGGCACAAATGCAACCTACAAAATCTAATCTGATACACAGAAGATTCATGTTCACCAAAAGTGGAATCCATGTGTACAACTCAATTTGAAGAACCACAGTAAATGTGGAGAAAATGACTAATCTTCTTGTATCTAACTCAGTTTTCACACATGCATCTGATTTTCATGTAACATTCAGCCTCAAAGAGGAGTTTAATAAAAAATGAGTAGTTAGGTTCCTTCTTTCATTTAGGGCATGCTATGTCTAGACTGCAAAGTTGGGAAAAGATACACAAATTACAAACAGGAATTTGCATATCTTTTTGCACTTTTTTTCGGAAGATGCTTTTCCAAAATTTAACCCGTCTACACGGGGCCCAATTTCAGAAAAAATTTATCTTTCGGGACATCCTTTCTTCCTCACACAATGAAGATTACAGGGATGGAGAAAGAATGCATCCATTTTTTTGAAATTGTTCCGAAAAAGTGGATCCATTCCTTGGACGTAGCATTACTTTTCCAGGATACCTCTGCTTTTCTGGGAAAAGCTCTGCAGTGTAAACATAGCCTTAGAGAGGACTATTTTCCTGCTTGATACAAAGGAAGGACGTATATGTTCAACACACAAGATTTAATTGCATATGGTACATATTGTTTATTTGCTGTACAGTTTTAAGTGGATTAAAATAAAATGTTTGAAATGTGGTATTTTTGTTAATGCCCAAAGGAAAAGCCTTGCTATACATGTGTACATTTTTATAACCTTCAGGAATGCTCTGAGCCTGGATTATTATGTAGTTAATTAAAAGGATTTCACCATTCCTGTGAGATCAAAATGAACATATATTCATAGTGTGTCCCAGGGCTACTCAATTTTGGAAGCCGCCAGGAACCACAGCGATACTCTCAAGCACATGCTGAGAGCTGCAACTTACATGGGGTTGCATATATATGCAAATAGCTTCTTTCACACTGGCAGGCATAAATACAAAGATTAAGGCAAGACTACACACCATGCAGGCCCCATTTAAGCCAGTTCTGCTGATATTAATAAAATGCAATATTTACCTGATTTCCACCCATATGACAGCATTCTTAATGAGCAATGACAGTCCAGGAATATAACTACTAAAAGGCATAAAACCAGACCATTATATAGACTACTTTTTGGTTTTGGCTCCCACCCGCAGGCCGCATGCAGCCCGTGGGCCACGTATTGAGTAGCCCTGGTGTGCCCCTTTGCAGACTTGAGGATTTTTCAAAGGTTAGTTTTGCTATGCTAATGCATAATCGGAAGAAGAAAATAAAATGGTCCTTACAGATCCTACTATGTGCATAAAGATTAACTTGTAGTGCTGTATCATCCAGAGTTATGGCTCTGACAGAGCCAATGACAAATGTGAGTGAGGAGAATTGAAAAGGATAGTTTATTTTATATTTGCTACATTTATACAATCTTTCAATGCAGACAGTTTTTTAGTCCATTGGAATCCACAAGTTTAGCAGATGTGGTTTCTGACTGACCTTTTTGTAAAAAGCAGTAAGCTTTTTTTCAATGCGTGACAGTTTTCCCATTATTTGAATTTTGCATAATACTGTCTAAGATGACTTTTCTATCTTATCTATTTAGTATACTATGTAGCTCATTTATATATATATTCTTATGTAAGCTATACTTTACATTTATGTGAGAATTAGGTGTTCAACTATTTTTCTTATCAGTAATATACTTGGCAGCTAGAGGTTATTAGAAAGGAGAGAGGAACTATAAAGTTGAATCACGCACAAAAGCATAGGAATGGCTTTGGATTGATGAAGAGATGTGATAATATCTTAAGAAACCAGAAAATTATGCAATGTGTTTGTAACCTGATCAGACTGTTTATTCAGCTATGATTATGGATGGAAAGAGAAGTGATGTACCTTAGTTTAATCACCCCAGGTTGAGGAATAGCTGATGAAAGAGGCAGAGATGTGAATGCTGACCTCAGTGTGAGAAAATGAAGGCTTAGGAAGTGAATGAAGGTAAGTGATGCAGTGGAAGATAAATTATAGATTGTTTTAAAAGAGGATTAAATCCTACCATGTCATTTATGTCAGTGCTCTTCTGCTTCAGAAATCTCCATACATTTATCTATGCACAGTACCTTGTGTATCTTGTGATTCTGTGGCTGTGTAATTTGTCAGGACATTTACCCTTTGCCATAGAACAGCATTTACAATCTCAATTTTAAGTGCTTTTAAATTTTGCTTTTCTTATGGACATTGAAACATATTCAAAATGGTAATGAGATGGTTCCCTCTCCTGCCCGCCCCCACTCTTGTCATTGTTAAAGGGGACTTGCCTGAATGCTTTATTTGGTGTTCTGATCCCATTTGGGATTTGGTTACCCACATGTTGTGCCTGAAACTACATTCTCCTCTGACCTGAAGTGATTCAATATCTGCATTGCTTTTTGGCAGGGCAGTGATCTCAGCTCTGTGCGTTGGCTAGGGGAAACCAGAAGATCTGGCCCAGCAGGACAGGGAGGTGAGAAGCCCCAGAGAACAAGGAAGTGAGTGTCAGTGGTAGGGATGTGAAGGACTAGTCAACTATCCAACAAGCAAATGCTTATCAGATAGTCGACTAGCCCCCAGGGATCTTCTGTGACTGCGCCCCGTCACAGGTAAATCCAATGTAGTGTTATCTTCCTGAGTCTGTAACAAGACTAGAAAGCAACATAAAGAATTGGAGACATGTAAGTCTAGAAGGGATCTAAAAAAGTCATCTAGCCCTACTCCTTCCACTGAGCAAGGGCTAACAATGAAAGGTTCATTCCCAACAGGTGTCTATATAACATGTTCTTAAAAACCTCCAATCATGGTGTGACAGTTTCTTCCTCCCCATGTTTTATGAAACTGTTTTATGTATACAAATATACATAACTCAAAGATACTCTAGATAAAATACCTCATGTAACCTATCAATTTTAATGTCACAATCTGCTGAATCTACATATCTTATTTTGATGTCACTCTTGTATGTAAAAAAGTTTATGGAAGTGGTTCTCAACCTGTGGTTCACGGACTCCAGGTGGTCCACGATAGTACTAAAGGGGGGTCCTCGGAAAGTTGGGAAACAACAGGTTCCATTGCGGCAGCCAGCAAGTCCCTCAGCCCACCCTGCTTCGTGAGCAGCCTCAGGGACATGGCTTGGGAAGCAGTGTGAACTGAGGGATGTGCAGGCTGTAGGCACAGCTATATTATTTGGGGGGCATGTAACATTTTAATGGATTGAAAAGAGGTCCGTATGCTGGAAAAGGTTGGGAGTAACTGGTCTACGGGTTTTAAGTGTGCAAATGAAAGCCATTCTCCGGTGTTTCCAGTGCTTTGACACCTCAATATCTGGGTGTAAACAGTTTCCTTTGTCCTTTAAGTCTAAGCAGAGGCTGGTCTTAGAAAGATATGTGACCACCCCAACGAGGGTTGCCAGATACCTTCATAAAAAATCCCGAATGTGGCAGGGAAAAAAATGATAGAGGGGGGAAAAAAAGTGAGGGGAGGAGGGACCAGACTTGTTGAGACCCCCCCAAAAAAGACACCAAACTTGTTGAGTAAAAAAAAAGAAAACAAAAAAAGGATGCTGCACCTTTAAATTCCCATGCTCCTCGCTCCACCAGACGCAGCAGGGCGGAAATGTCCCCACTGCCCTTCCATCAGAGAAACAGAAAATACCGGCCATTTTACTGGACACAAGGCGCAATTACTTGACTATCCAGGCAAAAACCAGACACCTGGCAACCTTTAACTCCAACTGGTAGGGTATGAACAGCTAATTTTCCAAGGAAGGGGGGACTGCAGAAACAAAGAATTCCCACCCAAAAGGAAGTCTATTCAACATGCAAATGTTTTAGTTTCTTGGTCTTTAGTTGGCAGAACACACCCAAGGAAATAGCCAGAGACCCGAGGAGGAAAAGAACTTCCCTGTCTTGGACATTGTTTGCTCAAAATAAGCATGACATTTTGCAGTAATATGATGGGTTTTTATCAGAGCAGTAATTACACGTTTTCATGCCCAGCATGAGCAATCATCTTTTCACAAGCTGGAGGCAATGCAGGGTAGGAAAAGGCAGGGTCACATCTCTCTCACCACCTCTTGCTTTCTGCCTCCTATTTACCACGTTTCCAAATTGTGGGGTGCATCTCTGCTCCATTCCATACTTCTACATAGCCTTCCTCCTACCCCATTCCTCTATTCTCTTCCCTGTGCCCTATCCCATCTTATTGTCTGTGCTCGCCTCCTCCCCCACTGCACTCCCATTTCCTCTTCTCCCCCACATCACTTCCACCGCTGTACAGCAAAGACAGTGGCAGCTGTCTGGGATGCACAGTAGGCAGAAGTGAAAGATGACTGGCATAGAGGCTGATGCTCCCCCGTTCGTTCATTCCCCGGACTGTACTGCCCATCGCCTTCATGGTGTGCTGGCTTCTGCGCCCCAATAACAACTGGATCCCTCGTTCTCACGCTGCTTGCCCCTGCCAGCCCACGGCCTTACGGGGATGCGTGACCAGGCCTCGCCCTTCCGCCCCGCGATGCTAGGGGGGCCACAAGGGCAGGGAGCCTGCTCAGAGCCTCCTGACCAGGCCTCGCCCTTCCGCCCCGCGATGCTAGGGGGGCCACAAGGGCAG